CCCAACCCACCCACGGGCAGCCGTGCCACCCTGGCCCTCAAACACTGCATGCAAATGCATTTGGAGCACTGTCACTACCTAAGGAATCACAGGAAATGCATTTTGAGGGGAAAACCAGAAATGGAATCCTGAATCTTGATCTGGGTCCTGCACATTTTGGAAATATTCCTACTTCATTTAACAGCCCCGCTTTTACTTACACATAAATGGAGGAGGGCAGTGCTGGCTGATAATTTAGCATTATCTCTCCATCATTATTTATTACCCTTCAATAGTGCTTCTTGTGGGAAAGATAATTGCTGATTTTATCAGGCTTTGCTTGGACTGTCCTCAACAAGTTGCTTGGTTTGTTTATTAAACAAGCCTCCTGGTTTTAGGGCCGGGAAACCCAACAGCGCTTCTGTGGTTAACTCACACCAACCAACCCTGATCCATGTGAAACAGCCTCAAAATTCCTTCTTTTCACACCACCAGGTTGCTTTCCTGCCTCCAAACCAGCACCTTATTCAGAAGGTGCCTCCTGCACTAAACCCTGCCCTGTCCCCTCAGCACCCAGCAGCAGCCCTGAGCCAAAGGTGGTGCCAGGCAGGACATCTTTGTTTAAAGCTCTGCCCAGCCTGAGCCAAGGAATGAATATTGACAAAAGCATCCCAGCGCTAATGAGTTGTTCGTTAGGGCAATAAACGTGTCACATTAGAGTGGGGCGGACGAGGTAATTAGCCCTGGAACAGCTCAGCACCCGTGGTGTGCATGCCCAGTGCCCACTCACCAAAACGCAGCTGGGCACAATTGCCAGGGCATGCCATTCCCACTCATCTGCACTGGCACACTCGCTCCTCACATCACTTTATTAACCCACATGTGCCCAAATGCTCCAATTTATCACTTTTGCCAGTGCACAGCAGCCCCAAAATGTCCTTCCTTGCCCTGGAATCTCCGTGAGCACACGGCTGCAGGCAGCCTTGTTATCCCCAGTTTGCCAATGGATTTTAAAAAATGAAATTATTTGCTGGGGAAAAATCAATAGCCCAGGCAGGAATGAGGCACTGAGAACTCTGATCAAGATCCAACTAAATCCAAATGATGGACTCCAAGAGTAGGATTTAACTTGATTGTGACCCTTTCTAGATGATTCTTTTCCCCTGATCATTCACAGAGAGACAGAAATTTGGAGAGCTGGGTTAAGATTCCATATCCCTTCCTCCCTTTCTGCTCAGTGGAGTTTTAGTCTTTTATTTTTACTCCACATCTTGTCTCGGGTATCAAACCAAGATAAATTCAAAATCACTTGGTTTTTTTTTGTATAATGATGATCAGATATTTGGTTTTTTCCCAGTTGCAATCACTCCCATCTGGAATTGCTCCAGGACACCCTGGGCTGGTGGGAGCTGTCCTTGCCCATGGGATGGGGCAGCCACAGCTGTGCCAGGGCCTCTGGAAAGGGCTGTGATTAACCCAGGGGTTAATGCAGGTGCCAGGCAAGGGCACAGCTGGAATTNGGCTCAGGGGCAGCCCCATTGTGATGCTAAGCGGGAGCCGCCGCACAAAGGCAGGCACAAAGGGAAGAAATATAGAGTGGAAAGATTAGAACCAGCTTATAATGTCAGTTCAAGGTCACCGGGAGCACTCCGGCAGTTCCAGTATAATGGACTCCCAACAAAGAGCGGTGATTAGGAGTCAGGGTGTTCCAGCATCAACCCCAAATCGAATAATTAACCATGAAGATTGAAAACAGTAAGTGCATCTGTCCAAAGTGGGCAAAAGGCCTTGTTAACAAATTATCTGTATGTGCTGAATACATATCACCCCACGGAGGCCCACGGCGTCTTCCCGAGGATTTATGGTTTGGTCTTTTACAGTATTTTAAACACAGCCTGAAAAATCCCCTGGCCAGAGTAATTCTCCTTAATTCAAGGCTTTTACTGGCTGTGACAAGATAAAAGCAAAAAGCAATAAGGTGCTAAGTACCCAGTAACTGCCAAAATAAAATTTCTATGCGCCCTGCACATTATCCAAAAATTCGCCAAAATGTAGGGGCATGGAATCACAGCCAGTTTGGGTTGGAAAGGGGTTTTAAGGATCACCTATTCCACTCCCTGCCATGGACAGGGACACCTTCCACTACCCCAGGGTGCTCCCAGCCATGTCCATCCCAGCCTTGAACACTTCCAGGCATGGGGCAGCCACTTATTTTTCTGGATAACCTGTGGAAGGGGTTCCTCCTTCTTCCCTGTGCTCTCAGGCTGGTTTTTTTGGGGGAGAGAATAGCAGGAATTTATAATCCCAACCAGTTTATTCTCATTTCCTATTGTGCAGATTAGAATTCCCCAATGTGAAACTAAAAGGTGATGTCCCCACTGGCCTTTCCTTGGGAAACCACAAGCGAATGTAACTTCCAAACGCCTGTCCATGAGGTGTCCCACGACAAAGGGATAAGCCAGGGAAGGATTATCCCCGTTAACTTGTGGAGGGGCTGCCAAAGCCAAAGCCAGCAAACCTTTGGCTTTGGCAAGCCAGCAAATCTGGCTGCTCCCACCAGAGAACAGCCCAGGGAACCTGCAATGGTCCCGGGCCAGGCTGGCTGGGACTGGAGCAACCCGGACAAACGGGATGTGTGTGAAACACAGCTTAACTCAGAAAGCACAAACACAGCCACAAATGGTTCCTATCATCATCCCAGAGGCCCAGAACGCTGGGAGAACACTCTCTATCCCCAGAGCTGAGCAGTTTCCCTGGCACAGCGTCACCTCCGCGAGCCAGGGCGAGCTGGGCAGGCGAGGGAGTTCCGAGCACCTGAGTTTTGCCTAACAGCTCGGATACTCCCTCGATTCAGCAGGGAAAAAAGAACCCCGCTCGTTTTGCTGGTCAATAAACGTGATTCCTTCTTTTCTACCTAAAAGCAGAAGCTTGACATGAAAGCTCTTTAATAAAACCTCCGGGAGAGGCGGCGGCAGCTGCGCGCCGTTATTGTGTCCGCGGCAAATCCGGCACAAAGCGGGAGCTCAGCGGGGCTCCGCCAGGGTGAGCTCCACACTTAACCCCGGCACACATTGTTGCTCCATTTCTTTCCATCTCCCTCCATCCTGGCTCTGTCAGCAACGGAACAGGCCATTTTCAATCTAAAT